TTTATTTTAATGTCACTTTATGCCTAGGAGCGCAGATATATTGAGAAAAGTATATTACCTTTCAGCATCTTATTCCTCAGCAAATCTGGAGAAGACATGAAAAACATGACATGTCAAGACAATCAGGACAAGGCATGACATTATCTCTTTGAGAATGTAAGATTGCAGCCTTTTAGATCAGAAATAATGACTGCTTATGAGACCATTACTGTCATTCAGGTTTCATATTGCCACACTGTCCTGTGAAACTGAAGGATGCAGTGAAAGATCTATGTTATGGTATTAAATGGTGTCTTCAGCTATTTCTAAGTGTGAGAGATGCACTGCGAAAGTCATTTTTGATAGGAAAGGGTATCTAATAACCTTCAGTAATAATGATAATTATACCACTGTTATTGTTGCTAGAGGAGGAAGCTACCTTTATAGACCTCTGAAATCTCTTTCAAACCTAAGGTAACTTAAGGATGTTGCTCTGCAGAGAGATACTATGTGGTGGCAGCTTTGACAAGTAAGTTAAATAAGTAAATAGATCTGTGGCTCTAAACACAAGTCTATTTCAAGCAAGAAAGCAGTATCAGATATCATAGGTGTGATAAAGCTGGTGGAGGCCAGTTTGTACCTAGAACTGCTGTATGGATTTGATCTGTCTTACAAATAAAAACCCTTGAAGCCATCTACCCAAAGAGTTTGCAAAACCAAAGATGCTGCCATTACATTACCCCGATAAAGCCTCCTTCAGACCTCCCTGCACTGATGAACCCATGAACCGCCCTTTCCTGTCACATCTATCGACAGGTTATGATTAGACAACAGGGGACTAGTTACATAACAGAGCTAGGATTATGCTGGGGCAGAGGGTATGGATATGATTAGACGATGGGGTTGACTTGGCATTAGGTTTGGGGCAGACTATTAGGATTAGTCTTTTGAGATTTAGGATTTAACCCCAACTCCAGTTAAAACTGTGTGGTGTTGGTTTTAGATAGAAAAGTTTAGAACTTCGGCCAAGTTTGAAATTTTACTTGTGTCCCCATTAAAGGGAACATTTCTGTCAGAGTTTAAATAATGGTTGTATTTGTTTGCTTCCTGCCACTTGGAGAGGAAGTGAGAGGAAATCTTCCTTATAGGGACACAGACAAGAATGAAACCCTAGTACATCAAAGAGAGGTGCTAGAACTCCTATTAGTATCCAGTGTTGTAAAACGACCATGTCATTAATAGAGCTCACTTCCTTCGGTGAGGTTGCTCATACTGTATATACCTGGACACTTCCAAACTTAGGGGGTCTTGACAAAGATCCAACTATAAAAGAAGTAGTACCGAGGACACATGTATGGTCAAAGAATCCACAATGACGTTTTATTAAATAATCATTAGAAGGAAAGTCAATGCGTTTTGGGGGGTTTAGACACTCCCACTTCATCAGGGCTTGGGTATTGTATATAATAGATGTATATGTGAACAGTGAAATTCTGAAACTAGCAGTTTATGCATTTCACTGTAGGCCATATTTGAGATTACACAATATGCAAGCCTTGGTAAAGGGGGAGTTTTTTTAACTGGCTTTCTTTCTACTGACTATTAATAAAAATATCATTTTGGACTCTTTAACCATTACTGCACGGCTTTTTGTATAGCTGAGCAGTAAAATCCTAACAGGGCTCTATACATTCCTCACTCTACTAGAAAATGTTTTAATTACTACCTGTGTTCCCTTTGGGGGAGGGGGGGGGCTTCCCCGCATCTCTTTTGTCTGTGAAGATTGTGGAGGTGGATTAAGAACCCAGTGTGAAAATAGAAAGTCTTGGAAACTCTTGGTGGGTAAAAAACAATGATCATGTTATTAGTGTACGACATAAAACATAGCCAACATTTTTTAGTGGATTGGGGCTTCCCCTTCTTCAAGGCTTTGGAGTGTTAGATCTGTAGGTCATTGTCACTGCAGTCTGTGTCCTAAAATGATAATAGTGTTCCGGAGAGTTTGTTGTGCCTGCAGTGGCAAAAAAATGAAAAATGCTTTTGTTGCTCCTCTTTGGAAGATTTCACCTCGCTTCTTGTTTTGTTTGGCATGCATGGAAAGGTAAATGAGGAGGTTTCCCCTATGTCCTGGTCTATTTGATAGTCACCAGGTTGAAACTAAAGTCATATCTCTTAAACAATAGTAAAAAAGAGTCATGGTTAATGGGGATGCTGGTTACAAGCAAAGTGATGAAATTTATAAGGCATATACAATACATTTACCACTGATCCATCACTTGCAGTCAAGTCAATAGAAATAGAGATGAGTGAAACTGATCATTTTTAATTTCCCTGAAATTTCTGCAAGAATCAGGAGAGTTTGCCAAAATTTCAATTTTGGGTGAAATAGATTGGAGTCAATTGGGAATGTGAAATTGGTGAAATCTCTGTGTATTTTAAGGCTGCAGTGGGCCCTGAATGTCTGAGTATTTTTACATTTTGAAAAGAAAGAAAAAGAAACTGACAGTATACAATTAACAACTAAATACAAACCAAAGAGGAGAAACAAATATGACTACAAAGGAACACTAAACATATTAAGCTATGCTAAATACACCCAATAACAATGCACCCTCCAAATAAAAAAATATATACCCAATAAAAATCCGCCCTCCAAATAAAACAAAAAATCCCAAGAGATTGTCTTTCACTCCACTCCTTTCTAACTAGAAAATCCCTGCAGATATTTCAGGAGAACAAACACCGATCAGCCTTAACATTATGACAACTGACAGGTGATTGATTGACATTGATTTTCTCATTTCAATGGCACCTAAAAGTGGGTGGCATATATTAGACAGCAAGTGAACATTTTGTCCCTGTAGGTGATGTGCTGGAAGCAGGAAAATGGGCAAGCGTAAGGATTTCTGCAACTTTGACAAGTGCCAAATTGGGATGGCTAGACGACTGGGTCAAAGCAACTCCAAAAATGCAGCTCCTGTGGCATGTTTCTGGTCTGCAGTGGTCAGGACCCACCAAAAGTGGTCCAAGGAAGGAACACCAGGGAACCAGCAACAGGGTCATGGGCAGCCAAGGCTCATTAATGCATGTGGGGAGCGAACGCTGGCACTTGTAGTCTGATCCAATAGAAGAGCTACTGTGGCTCAAATAGCTTTGTGCCGGATACCACAGCATACCTTCAGAGGTCTAGTGGAGTCCATGCCTCGATGGGTCAGGGCTGTTTTGGTGGCAAAAGGGGGGCCACCTCAATAAAAGGTGGGTGGTCATAATGATGTGGCTGACCAGTGTATACTCTGACTGTTGTGATACAAACCAGGCTGGTGAGGAACCCTATACGTAATTGCTAAGAGGATATTGACAATGCAGGGAAGCCTCCAAAAGCATCAGAGGTCCCTGGGAACATATATTTACATGTATACATGCACATTGCAGGTTCTCAAACACTTGGGAGGTATAGTAGTGCGTGCTGACAGATTACTTGGCCTTAATCTAATAATAACAGCAGTTTCAGCTTATTCTTTATTAATCATTCGCATCAGAGCGTAACTTGTCAGAGTTTATAGTCTTTGCTTTTGATCATTTTTAGAGATCATTTTTAGGGAATAAACGTTCAAAAATGTGATGACCTCTTCTGATTTTTATCCGTATGACTTTTGTTCACTAATATAATTTTAGTGTCGGACCCTATTAAGAGGCACCTAATCTACCATCCATGGATCCTGTTGCTGCCAAATTGTCAGGGATGGATTAGACAATGTCTTATGAGGGTTGGAGCCTATTAGGTTTTTCACCACAGATGGAGGGTTTGAAGTTTGGCTACCCCTAACCTATAGACCTATCTATGTCATATTCATTCTCCTATAAGAAGAACTCTACAAAGTTCTATTTGTTTTAATACTTGTCATATAACATAATCCAAATCCAGTTAAAAATGAAAAAAACCTTCTGTGAAAACACATTTCATGTTTAAGATGTTCCTAGTGCCATGCTACTTCCCAAAAGTTTGGAAACTGACACCAAATATCAGTTGCCAACCACTATGAAAGAAGTGTTTGGATGTGACAGAGTAAGGTTGTCTATTTAATTTTTCATGCTGGTTACTAGTAGGAAAGTAGATCAGTGTCTGGAAGAGAATTGGGCAGAGTGTGGTACCCAAGACGATGCACATATTTGGAGATGGGAACTGCTCATCTGTGAGTATAGGTTGACCATTACTAAGACAGATGTGTATCTTGAGGAACCTGGATGCTTTGCAGGTTTTGGCAAGGATGCTGTTAAGGGCAGTTACCATGCAAAGGTGTGGGACATTCTTCCTGAATTTGCAAGCATTTGTTGTTACATAATTCTGAACCAGACCCACAAAATGGAGGTCAGTAAAAGGGTTTAGTGGCCCTAAGATTATGCTCAGTCTCATGCCCCAGACAAACTTCAGATGCAGCATGATCTTCCTTTCCATTGCCCTTTCCTGCGCTCCACCATTCTAGGGACGCCTCACATTCATTCTTCAGCTGGACAGCTCTTTTGTTGTGCATAGGCATTGCTCCAGGACTATAATAATTAAAAGGAAAATCTTCTAACAGGTAGGGAGAGGTAGAAACAGGTCAAATGCAGGTCAAAATGAAGTCAACTACAGGTCAAATGCACTTTTCCATGAATTCTCTATGATCTCCAAAAAGTATCAAACTGATTTCAAAAGAAGCTACATTTCCCCATGAACAAAAGGCCAAAGCCTGCCAACACAAGTCCTTACCCAAATCAACTAATAAGCCAATTAGGTTCTCCCCTTGATGCTCCCAGGGATCGGAACAAATAGGGAACATTAGAGACAGTTGTTCCCTTGAACATGTTAACATATGAGGTCCACTGCAAACTCTGGTGATGTATACTTTTTCTAATGTATTTATACTTTTTAAAATAGAACTTATAAAAGTATATAATAATTAACACTGGCGTAAACTGATGTGTGTTTTATGCACTTTAATACAATAATTAATGCAATGTAATTTTCTTTCCTGATACAGCAATGACTGTCAGATTTATCACCAAACGGTTCATTGGAGAATATGATCCCACCCTTGGTAAGTAGAAGTTGTGAAGATAGCAGAAGAATAAATAGTTGGGTAGATTATATGTGCATCTTCCAGCCTCAGTTTGTTTTCTTAGGGTCAGTGTTATCAATCTACTCCTTTGGAGTCAGTGTTATCAATTTCTTCCTTTGGAGTCAGTGTTATCAATTTCTTCCTTTGGAGTCTGTGTTATTTATTTATTGGCCTACTTATCAAGGGTCAGTTAATATTTATTTACAATCAATGAATGTTTACTCTTATCATACCTATTGTTTGCCTAGGACAATTTGCAATTGCAATCTTTTCCAACCTATTCAATGTTATTACACTAGCCATGAGTTCTCCTTTTCCATTCTGTTTGATTCTAGATATTCCTTAGTGTAAAACGGATTTAACACACTTACAAAGAGTGGAATTTTATATTCGCAAATGGTATTATGGAAAACATTTACCAGTCTCTTGCTGGTGTAAATGAGTACTTGCAATATGGAATACAACTGCATAAAACAGAAATTCTAAAATTAGATTTGTTTACTGATATCCACGTGACCCGTGAGATTTGCTCTCTGCACTCCAACACACACGGTTTATTTCTTGGTATCCATGTCCCCATTGAGATCAATCTTCCATCTGTGTGTTGTGATGCACTGCAACTGGGGTTTTGTTTTCAATTGGGGTGTGTTGGGTGCCAGTCAAAATTAATCATGCATCATGAAAACCAGCTTAACTGTTTGTTATTCTATTGTTGCTCGATTCTGAGTTTTGAGTGGGTTCTAGCCAGTGGCATAACGATAGCCATAGCAGCCTACGCAGGTGCTATGGGGCTGGGGGGGTGGAAGGGGGCCCCAATTAAGGATTGCAGAAGTTGCTGTTGACACTGGCCCTCTATACCCATGGCATTTTTAATCAGCAAGAGTTGACATCAGATGTACAGGAGGAGACAATGCAGACAGCTCTTTTGCTACCTGACTTTAGTATAATTGAAAGTAGGAAGGTTGCCAAGGGCCCCCTTTAAAATTTTGCTATGGGGCCCCATGATCTACAGTTAAGCCCCTAGCTCTAGCTATTGGCTTCTTGAACATCCTAAGGATACATTCCTTTTTGCAGGATTCCAGCTCATTTTAACTTCCTGCTGCAACCTTAATATTTTGCAATATATTTTTTTGCCCAGCAGTTTTGTCACCTGTCCTGTTCCATATTTTCCCGTAGAGAATCACTGCAGGAAATAAAGTCAGACTGCTCTTATTGTGGTCTTACACAGCCAGAGGCGAATGTGTCTGGGGCATACTTTAGAGTTTTTGAAATCTGGCAAGTGACTGACTCCACTGTCATTTATCAAACCTTTGGGGTAATTTACCCATTAAGCAGATTAAAAACAGTGGCATATGTTAGCTTGGTTCCCTCGGGGTACATGACAAACTCTTTTCCAATTCTTTATATACTGTAACAAAATAATAAATGTTTCTGATTGAGCAAATAATACATAATTATAAATTCACTAAATCCATAACTGTGTTCCATAAACTCCTACACGCGGCACAAAATAAAATGAATTCTTTAACCAGCTTCCCATGAACAATAGTACAGCGTGTGCAGTGATTTTCCACTTAACTAATTCTTGCATTTCCTGCCAGATTTTTTTAGGATGACTTTATTATCCTATAATCAGTCTGCGTCACTGTTACATGTGCAATGCAATGCTATCTACTGTTACAAAGAACCTGTCTTACAGTGGCACACATAGGCAGAACTTTGGGCATTGAGTGATGGGCCAGTTCTCACTTTGCTCTCACCACTGGGGCCCACCACAATCATCCCTAGCCTAATCCTCACCGAGTGACGAGGGAGCATGGAGGCGGCCTCCCAGCCAATCAGGAAGTCGGGTGGCAAGGAGTCATTACCTGCCCCCCGGCAACCTAATTGGCCGGGAAGCCAGCTCCATGCTCCCTCGTGTGGAGGGAGCATGGAGCTCCCATGCTCTCCTGGTGAGGAGGGAGCATGGAGCCGGCTTCCCAGGCCAATCAAGAAGCGGGGCAGCATGTAATGACTCGCTGCCCGACTTCCTAATATCAGAAGTTCCGGTATTGAGATAGGCATCGGGAGCATTTGGGCGAGTACAAGTACTTGCCCAAATACTCGGTATGGGCACTGATATTGATTCTAGTATTGGTGCATTCCTAGTCTATATATAATACAGTAAGCTCCGAAGAAGGGGGTTTAACCCCAGAAACGAGTTAGCTATTGTCCACCATCACATGTTGAAGGGTCTCTTTGTCTTCTTTGTTTCGTTATTGACCACAGAATTGTTTGCTGATGTTATCTGGACTGAAAATGTAAGTAGAATAGATGTCTGGTTTGTACACTCTGTTTTAATAAATTATATCACACAAGGAAAATGCGCTGTTTCTTTTATCTCTATTCTTATACTGGAGGATTTCCTTATCCATCTCTGAACAGCTGCCCTTCCTGGTGTATATGCATGCTAATGAAGATACCCTTTAGGATTTCTGGTGGCCGCCATCAGCGCTGAGGTTGCAGTTTGAGGCTACATAGGTCTGTTGGTGTCTGTGGTCAGTGAGCCACCCAGTAGAGAATCGCTGATTTCCTGGGTACACTTTTTCAGAGACAACATTAGATGAATCACGCCAAATAGCAGATGGCAAGTGGCCTCCATCCTATGAGTCATTTGTCTTTTGAAAGAAACAAGCATTTGCACAATATCCTTCGAAACTTCCAGCATTTATACAAAAAAAAATTAGATTTAAAGGAAGAACAAACACTACATTTTACATCCCCTCCAATTACTGGGCATTTATTAAAGTAGGCACTGGGGCTGCTGGATTACTTCTTATAATGAAATGCTTTGCAATTGCCAAGGCTGAGGCTAATGTTTTATGTAACGCATAAGGCAGTGCCAACATTTATTGTACACCCTATACCCAGTCCATTGCAGATGCCGCAGTGTTTGCAAGTAACTTAAGATGATTGAAGCACACGTCTTGCCGAGAGGCATAATGAGGTTGTATGGGTTATGGTGGCTGCAGGGAGTTGACACCTCTTTTAATTAGATAGACTAGATTTACCGGCTGGCACAACATCATCAGTTGAGAGAGACACCAAAACACATTTTAATAAGATAAACTCATGATTAGAACCACACATATATGGAAGAATGAATGTATTGGTCATAAGGCATGCATTCAACGCATGAATGTACAGTGACGCAATGTTATTAGTGGAATTGAAAAATAATTTCTGCTTACTAGCATTTGGAATCATTGGCAAATAATTTAATCTTAACATCTTCAAAGCCACAGCCAAATTAAATATAATACATTAAATGGAAATGGTTTTTATAAGGGTCTTAAAGTGACACTAAACTCAGGAGTTCAATCTTAAAAATGTATTCAAGTAGCCTAAGTATTAACAAAAATTAGGGCTGTGGAAATGAAAGATTAATTTCTCGATTTAATCGTTAAACTTTTTGATCGATTAAAATTATTTTGATCGCTAATGAAAACACTCACCTCCGCCGGCTTCCGGAAGTCCCGTCGGCGATCCGGTGACATCACGGACATCGACGTCACCGGACTCCTCCCCCCTTCCCCAAGTGGGTCCGTCGGCTAACGAAGGGAAGGGGGAGGAGTCCGGTGACGTCGATGTCCGTGACGTCACCGGACTCCTCCCCCCTTCGTTAGCCAACAGAGCCACTTGGGCCAGTGAGCTTGCCCAAGAAACTTTCTGCACGAGCGCCAGCCAAGGCATTGGCCTATACACATACAGCACAGCAATGAAGTAATAAAATGAACTAGGATCACACTAATCCAGCACGTTTACTCTGAGGTGCCCCACGCAAGCGGCGGCCATATTGAGTGAGGCACTGAGACTAATAACGTGCTGGATTAGTGTGATCCTAGTTCATTTTACTACTTCATCGCTGTGCTGTATGTGTATAGGCCAATGTAGTTGGATCTGTATGTGCGTTATAATTAATCGAAATTAATCGATTAAAAATGTTTTTGATTAATCGAACACGAAAATTTTAATCATTACCAGCCCTAACAAAAATGTATCTTATTTGTGTATCACTCGGCTGTAGATCTTCAAATCATCTCTGAATTGGTGCTGACACTCCTTCCTTCTGTGGGATGGCTACTTTTGTTTCCACGGTCCCTGTGTGTTGTAAAGTAGTCACCGCTCCAATCTCACTCCCGTGATAGACTACAATCTCACATTTAGTTTACTAACTTGTATTGAGATTGTAGTCCCTCACAGGAGCGAGCTTGGAGCGGTGACTACTTTACAATGCAAACAGGGACCATGGGAACACACAGGGAACTCTAAGTGTGTAGTGTGTGATCTCTTTGCACATTACCATATTGTTCCTTATAGAACATTAATGTGCGTTCCAATTATGTGTTCATTTTACTGCAAACCAGTATATAGGTCAGTGTATCTTGGCCTGGATATAAAAAAAAAAAATCACACTTCTGATCTTTGGGTGATCAGAGGCATGTCACTTTAACTACATTTGTCAATTCCGACAGCTAGAAAGGCCAGATTAATTAAGGGCTACTGTGCCCTATCTTCTTTTCCCTCAGTAATTCTTTAAAGAGGTACATCAAAGCCAAACCCAAGTAACGGTAATAGCAACCTTGGGTTAACCTTATGATACCATAAATTGGTAATATTTCTGATCAAAACAGTTTATGTGAAAATCTGACGTAAATGTAGCCAATTGCATTAATAATGCTTTTTTGCTCCTGCATGAGGTCATGTGGAATACAGTATGTGCTTGAACCCCCCGCCCCATGGCTGCACATAAACCTAAATGCTTTCAGAAGAAATCCAGGATTTTTTAAATTAACCTTTACAGTAGGGCTACCCACTGTGCTTGTTTTTGTCTAGGTTCTAAAATAACAAAAATCTACTCGCCAGAAGCTCCAAGGCACTCCCTTCAGCCTCTCTCCCCCTCCCTGCAGCATTGTAATCTTCTTCAGCTTCCTCACGTCTATACAATGTGTATAGAATGTGATGATTTATGAGACCTTAGACCGCTGCAGAAGAGGGGGAGAGACGTTGGAACGACCGGTCTAAGAAGAAGCCCACTGGGAGCTTTGGATGTATATAACATTTTTTTTTTTTTTACCTAGACACAAGCGAGCAGTAAACCTTTGCAATGCATGGGTAGCCCCAATGCAAGAGTTAATAAAAACATTCCTGGATTCTTTTATATCTAGAATCTTATTTTACCATTTTTCAAAATTAATTTATAGTCTATTTATTTACAGATAGAAGAGAGCACAGACTCCCCTCAGATTGGAAGATGGGTATAACTGCAACCCTATCGCCATTGCTATGAGGCAAAAAAGACAGGTCCCTATTATGATGCAATATCTACATATTTTACACAAGCAGATGTACTGAGAACTATCTGTTGTTTAAAGTGGACATTTACCCCCTTTTACTAAAAATCACATCTGCATGCTGATATGAAATCATCTTACAATTATTAGTCAAACAAACATATTTTGCTTTTACTTAAAATCACTGTTTTTCCACTTTCTGGTACCCTTGGACATTAGTGATATAAGATGGCACCTTCTTTGGCTTTAAGGGATAGGAGGGTGTAGTTTCCCTTTAAGGTGTGTTTCGCTCATGTAGGGCACAGCAGCAGTTTCACTTTAATCCCTCCCTCCATACAGCATATACTCACCTCTTCATTATTCCACAATGTTCCATTACACTCCCAGGAGCAGGAGAAGCTACCAGCCATACAAGTCATGACTTAAAAAAAAGTCTTGTGACAGCTTTTGTGCCTGATGATTGGTTCAGAACTGTCATATGGAGTGTTTTACAAGCCCATCCATACCTGGAAGTAGCCAGGTTACATGGGTAAAGCACAGGCTTACCTTTAGGAAAAACATACTGCACACTTAACCCCCATACACCTCCTGTGTTAAAGTGAACCTGTGGCCAAACTATGCACATTGGTGTACAAACAATAAAATCACTTTAAAGAAGCCCTCATTAACCTCCTGTAGCTGTAGGCATTTTGGAGAAATTCATCTTTAAAGTTTTCTAGAGGCACTGACACCTTAGCTCTTTCCCTATTACTTTTTATTGTACCACAATCTTGGCAGGCTCCCAGCCCTTTAATGTAAACACACAGCAGATGTTTCTAAGATATTAGAAACTAACTGATCCCCAACTCTAGAGTCATTCTTTTTTTCTTTGAGGATACATTTCTTCACAGTACATGCAGCTAGAGAAGTCAGAGATGGCAAGCATTGCTCCTTTACTGTTTGTTATGATTATGTAAATACTTTAAAAGGTACATTGCCTAGTCACAGGTGCACTTTAAAGTTCCCTTGGAATCCATTATTTCACATCCGGAAGTATGGACTCATCTTTCCTGTCTCCAATGTGGAAATGTGAATTCATGTAATTCCCCTTCCCAAAACAAGGGGAATCCCCAGCTTTTCTTTTCAAACCATATTTCTAGCAGCCAAGCCCTCTCATGTTTAAAAATGATTGGACTTTCTAGACATAGTCTCCCATAATACACTCGCAGAACTCCTGAACCTGGCCTTATACTACCTCTTACAGTTACATCTATTGCATGCGTCCCACATTCTGGAATAAACTACGCTGAAATTAACAGTTTCATATTCAATACTATTATTTCATCATTTGATTTCAGGTTCTTTTGTTGACCTCGTAATGAACTTTACACTTGACATGATCAAACTGACTGTGATTAATTTAAATCCCTATCTTGCTTTGAGCTTATTACACAGCAACTGTATAAGCACATAAGAGCGTGTCCTTCCTCTTCCTTGAATAATCACCTTCTGTCAGAGAATGCTCCAAGATGTACTAATTACACGTGATTTTCACTGCAAATTAACCATAAAGCCAATTAGTTCCTTTTAGTGCTGTAAGCAATTTAAAATGCCCTCCGACAGGAATGTAAATCCCGGGATTAGTATTATGTGCTGCTGAAAACAGTAATAGCTCAGATAGCAAAATCCTTCTCCAGAGTAACATTAACTCCCTGGTATCAGAAAATATCAGTATGATAAATGCCCAAAAGTCTCTGAATTTGAGTTTCCTACAGCCACACACTGGACTAAGAATTGTATAGAGAAATAAAAAGTAAGTTGGCTTGTTGCTGTGGGCAATCTAAGCCAGTGGGGGTCAGTTTGCAAGGTATGGGGGCCTTAACCGTGGCCCCTGATGTCACTAAGAGGCCACAAATAATATTTAGTATATGTAGTGCTATAGCATACTGTCAGAGACCGCAGATATACTATAGGAGACAGGGAATCTCTTTGGGTTACGGGGGGTCCTGGCAGGCAGAGTGGCATGGCCAATGTTTGTGCTACCCCCTTTCTCGCCAGAGAGTCACTGGTTACCAGGAGCTGGGCGGGACACTGACCAGAACAATACCTATCCCCCCCACTCCCCACATCCCCGCCTGTCAGAGTGTCCATCTCGCACACCCCTGCCACTACCAGCCAAAGCATCCATCACGCACACCCATAACTCCCCCTCTGGCAAAAACTATATGGACTCCACTGATAGAAGATGTTAAAAGTGCGTGAGCATGGTACAGGTGTGGTTGGGCACACGTTACAGGGGACTGACTACTGAAGATCACTATAGTTACAGCCCCTTAAAGGCTTGTTCACACCAGCCAGCCATGCTGAACTGATGGCTAGTGGTGTGCACTGGGAGGAACAATGCTGATACACCGATCCCAAAGCACCATACTGTTTACTTGTTTTAACTTGCAACAGGCTGCTATTAAAAACAAAAAAAAGGATGGGGATATAGCAGGTACCTTTGCTTGTGTTTGAAGGTACTAGCTTTGGGACTGTCATTCTTATCCATAAAACTGAACTATGGGTTAGTGTAAAAGATAACCTTGCAGTGCCCCCTCCCTCCGCATTGCAAGAGTTTAATGCCTGTCTAGTCTAGCAGAATAGGAATGAGAACAATACTTACCTTATTCCTTGGCCCCCCGACACCCACTGCACTCCAACACTCTCTGATGCTTCCGGGATGTGGATGGGCCCTCATCCTCCTTAAATATAAAGCAGGACCTCTGATCCTTCATTGTACATGATCACCCCAGAGAGCTGCATCTAGATGGGCAGAGAAGAGGAGCAGCTTTGGGGCACGAAGAGAGCCTGTAGGAGCAAGAAATAAGATTGTTATTTTACCTGATTTGTATCCCCCTAGACTAAACAAGCATTTAACCCATACAGTGTGTGAGTAGGGACTGCAAGGTTGAATTTTTAAGTAACCCAGAGTTCAGTTTTAACTGACGGCTTAGTCGTTGACCAGAAACAAGCATACAGCCAGTGAAGTCAGCTTGTATACTGGTTCCAGATCAGTGACTCCTTAAGGAGAGAAGCAAGGGCGAGGATGACCACTTCAGCAAGAACATGTTGGAATAAGAAGTATGTTGAATGACGTTAAGCGCCACTCAGAGGAGTGGTGACCAGGAGTGTTAAGTCTGTAGAGAACGGTTACAGAGTTGGGAAATATTGCAGTGAAATATGTTTTTCCTCTTTCTCTCTCTCTCTCTCTCTCTCTCCCTCCCTCTCCATATTAATCCAGATCTCTTCCTTAAAGGGGTGCATTGAAAATCCCGACAGAATACTGTTACGATATAAATGAAAAGAATATAAGAATATATATTACATTTCTATTGTAAATTGTAGCCATTTGGTTTTATGTATTCCCAACAGAGATGTTCTAAAACCTAAGAAATGTGATGTCTGACTCCAGCTGAAGTGGACAATGTTATTTCTTTCATTTTGACATTTCTTTTAGCTAGAGTCAATGCTTTAAAGGATCAGTCCACCCAAGTATGATATTTCAGTTTTTGGTAGTTGCTGGAGAGATAAATCACCTGATAGTTTCTTCTATCCCTTGGGCACCCTATTGTTGAGATCTCTTGACTTGAGTTTCTGGTCTGCTTGCCTTCTGTGCCATGACCAGGGGTTCACACTTGTTGAGCTTTTTATTGATTTATATTCTGTAGGTAACAGCGGGAGGAGCTGTACCATGCAAAGGTAGGTGAGAACACCTATAACTTCTAGGAGAACAGGAAGAAGTTGGCAGTTATTCTGTAGCAGGTAGAGCTCACTGTGGGCATACCCAATACATATTGGAAGCCAGAGGCTGACTCAGCCCAAAAGGCTCCATCTGTGACTTAAATATCACTTCTGGGAAGACTGACCCTTTAACTGACCCTTTAATTGCCCATTTTGACAAAATGCATACATGCTTCAGTTAAATACCTTTTTTATGTTTTCCTGATGCCAGGAAATGTGTACTGTGTATTCATTTTTGGTGTCTATCCTGTCTTGGCAGAAACAATTTACAGACACACCGGGGTTATAGATGGGGAATTTGTCCATTTTGAGATCCTAGATACTGCAGGTCAGGTATGGATCTATTTTTATTCTCACATATTTTTGCATAATTGTAAGCTTTGGATTACAACTGAAAAGCTAAGGGAACTATTTCAAGAGCGTTTAAATATTTCTGCTGTAATTCAAACTGCTGAACTTGGCCCCCTTGATAGCTCGGGGCAAAAGCTTAAAATACCTATACGTGAACTGTTGACCTTAATTAGACAATTGGTGCTATCTACCTCTGGCAGCTAAAATTGCTGTGTATGATGCTCTATTGCAAACTGGTTTCTGGTTAACTGCTGTTGTGCATAGAATAACCATGTTCATTATCTAAAATTATTAAATCAGAGCTTCACAACACATCAGTAGTCATACACATATGGACGTCCTTATTTTCAGTTGAACAATGTGACAACATTTAGCTTAGCAAAGCAAAGAAATTGCAAGCAGCTCACAAATTGATATTCTGTTCTGCTAGTTATGCCTTCTGAAGAGGCAATAAAATGCATAGCACTGCAGTGTACGGAGCAGCCTAGACATGGCAGACAACATTTGCTGCTATAGGATGAGGGGTGACACAAATAAAATGCTTAATGAAGCAATTTTGTATTCTGAACCATTTGGCTTAACAAACATTTTGTTTTGGCGGGGAGGCCAGTGGGAAAGGAGACTTAGATGGGAAGTTCCATGAAAGTGCCTTAAACAAGCCAATTCACCCTACTTAGCCACACAAAGGGCTGAGGGATCTAAATAAAGCTTGTGTTAAAAATGTAAGAAGAAAGTTTTAAATCCTAAATGAAGTCCCAAAAAATAGATATTCGGTCAGATAGACATTGTACGAATTACCTGTATTTTCATAGTCTTACCTCCACTTTTCTGTTAAAGAAGAACTCCAGGCAAAATTGTTAATAACCCTTGTTGTTAACTCGGGCTAAGCCCGCACTACAAGGGCTAACTGCTCATTTTGATCTAGGAAGAAGATTAAAAATTTATACTCACCTGATCCTCCGAGCAAGCTTCCTCTTAGATCCGTCCTTCCAGTCTCACTCCCCCTCAGCTGCAGTGGTCTAAGGTCCTTGAGTCATCACATTCTATACGCAGTGTATAGGTTGTGAGGACACAGAGAAGAGACATGCCATCGCCAGAGAGTAGAAGGAGACTGGCAAGAGAGAGCGCTGTCACAGTCATCCGGCTGTGCCAGCCAGTTTGGGTGAGTATGCTTTGTTATTTTCCTCCATAGACCAAAACGAGCTGTTAATCCATGCAGTGCAGTGTTTTCTTCAGAACAGAAACAGGTAGGAAACTGCAACAAAGTTTGTTAAAATCCTTACAATGTACACAGATCACCCAGAGAGGATTGATTTCTTGTTCAGCAAAAGTGGATTTACTCTTTAACTGCTTGTTGGCAGTCATCTCATTTGCAGAACACATAGGGAATGATTTATAAATCATCTGCCCAGCCATAAACTAGCTGGATACTGTTCACACGACATTCTGGCCACTAGATGAAACCGAGAAGCATAGGAAATACCTTCGCTTCTCGACTCCATCTGGTGGCCAGAATGCCATGCAAACATAATATGGCCAGCAATGGGATTCTAATGAGATAACTGTCAACAAGCAGTTACATCTCTGTCTAGCATGGTGGTTTACCACGAGTTTCGCCTTAGTCTAATAACTGCAGGAGATGGGCAGAGCTGAGAACTCTGGTGAAGAAGCCTTATGACTGGTATCTGGGACCTGATCTAAAAGTCATAGGCCAATCCAACTTGCTTTTTGTCAAACAGCCATTTTGGGTGGCATTCTGAGCATAATAGCTATGTTACCATACTGCACATCCCAAATTAGGAATATCCTGTTTTCTAGCTACATGCTAATACATATAGAAAGCTATTTCTACAGCTAAAATCTTTTTTTTTTCCCAATTTTTTTTTTAAAGGAAGAGGACTCGCTTCAGATCGAGGAGAAGATTAAGTGGGGTGACAGTTTTGTCATTGTATATTCAGTGACAGACCGTTGCAGCTTCGATGAAGTAATGAGATTATGTTTCCTCATCAACCACATCCAGGCAGCCAACAAAAAAGGAGCAACGGAGCACCCACCCATCGTCATAGTAGGCAACAAGAAAGATCTCCAGTTTGACCGCATGGTGTCTACGGACGATGGTGAAAAACTCTCCAAGGCATTGAAACACCCTTATTTTGAAATTTCCACCAGAGACAGCTATGAGGAAACCACCATGGTCTTCCATACGCTCTACTGTGAGATGCAGAGGCAAGGGTGCCTCTCTCCGGCAACTTTCAAGAAAAGAAATGCATCAAAGTCGATGGAGAAGATTCCGAAAATTTACGCCAATTCGACTTTGATTGCAAATGGCAGGAGTTTAAGTTTTAACTCATTTCGAGATTTTATCCCAGAATGAAAGCATGAGAACCCACGCCAGTTCCATGTTACTTTTCCAGTCTACCAGCCCTTGGTGATGAAAAGATGTCCTCACTAGTGTGGTGTATAGGTTAGAGGAATATGTGTTCCAAGCTTCCATTTTTATTCGCCATGGGTCTTACTGAAACCTTTTTGCTGAATAATTTGGCAGATAGTTTTAGACCGTAGGAAGGCTGAGCATCAAATATGAACTGCTGAGAATGAGATGGCCAATTAAATCAGTTTTTGATTGGTTGATAAGTCGTTGCACATCCATGCTCAATGAACCAAGTTATAGAATGAGCACAAAATGTTTTACCTACTGTAAAAAATGTTCACGCATTTAAAGTGTATTTCCAGTTTTGCAGCCAAATTGGGATAACACCTATTTAATATTTATTACATGTTCCCGTACACATTGCATAAACTAAAAAATATTTTAGAAAATGCTTCTTGCACATTAAATTGCTTTTACTTGGGTTAGGGTTTCTTGGCTTCTTAAGGGTTAAAATGTCTACTTGGCTTCTCCTTCTTTGTAATGTTAGGAGGGGCTGTGATAAGATTACAACCCTGGCTTCTCCATTGTATTTAATGAGTTAAACACAGTCCTAAAATGTCATTCCTACGTCTTTTTATAAAGACAGATCACTGTGATGGTGCTGGGAAAACCTGGAATCAGCCATGTTGCCTGCTGCAACAAAACATCTAAAAGGTAAGAAATATTTATTTAAAAAACATTTTAAATTATGCTGTGTGAATGGGAACACATAACAAATATATAGAGGGGTTTTCTCAAATTTGATTGCAAAAGTGGAAATACATTTTAAGGCTTTCAAAATGTCAGGCAAGATATTTTTTAAATGGTCGGTTTATGTGATACATGTTCCTGATAGGCTGCATTTGGCAGGTAGGTAATACCAGATAGTTTAAGGATAACGTTTTATATCTGCATGTAGTTAATATGTGCAATGATAGTCTTCAAAAATATTTAATGCTTATCCTTTCACATTCCCTTATTTATATTTTTCTCTACATTTACATGCAATGCAAGGTGACCAGAAAACGTGACAGAGACAAGGGTTGGGGCACACCATAACACTGCCATGGCATTCATTTAGCTTAAAAGATGAACCCCGAGATAAGCAAATATTGTCATGTGTGTTCTTACTTGAATCTTGGTGTACTTTATATATTTCTTCCAGATCTGTGCAGTGATCCAGTGTGAAACGTTACCTCTGTGCAGGAGCTTCCTGTAATAAAGACCGGTCACTGCTGCTTTCTCTCCGTGTGCAGGGTGACTGGTCTTGTCTCTGCCCCCTCCTGTAGTTTTCTGCAGACATCCTGTAGTGGGTGGGACTACTGGGTCCCTCCCATGGCTCTCCTTTATGTGCATCACAGTGATAATGTCACTGACATCTTTAGGCAATTACAAAGGCATTCAGTGCACGCAAAGTGAATTTATACCCCGTGTGGTAATTGAGAAATATATTTAAATGAAAGTTTTTGTGTCTGGAGTTCAGATTTGAGTTCGAGCTTAAAAAGTGTATCTAAACCTAAAAACAAAAATGTAATATATTGCAGCTTACCAGTCCTAGGATATGGTGGCTGCATTAGTTCTCTTTTTTCATGCATTCTTTATTTTCACCTGGTAATTCTGCCAATGACACAATTCCTGTCCTGGGATGACAACACTTACTAACCATAATGTATTTATGGATATAGGATTAGACCATTGAATACTTCCCCATCTCCTCTTCTCCATGAAATAGGGGCAGGTGTTCTGTAGTTGACAGCAAGAGGTGAGAATAATACTACACTGTAGCTATGGAGGGAGCCATGGTTGCCCCACAGACTGGACTACAAACATATCTGCCTCTGTTCAACTCCATTACACCTCCTCATGTATCACTTCCCCCTCCCTTTTAGATTGTAAGCCTTCAGGGGCAGGGCCTTCCTTACCATCTTGTCTTGAATTGTATTGTGATTGTAATGTCTTCCTTATATTGTAAAGTGCTGCACAAACTGTTGGCGCTGTATAAATCCTGTATAATAATAATAATAATTACATGGGGATGGAAAGGTAAATCGTTTACAAAAGGAAGAAAATGCTTCCAGTTCAGCTCACAGGAAGTGACAAGGATGCTGCATTTCTGACAGGGTCAACGGGTATTTTGTGTACTTGCTGAAAATGTTCTGCGTCTGAAAAAAAAAGAAAACAAATGCAGCCATCACATCTAAGGATTGATCTGCAATATGTTACATTTTTGTTCTTGGGTTTAGTTATCCTCTGAATAAAATGCTGCTGCACCTGCTACACCAACCCTTGTCACTGGACATTCTGCTGCTCAGCTTTCACCTTCATGTCAATGCAAATTATACTCAATGGTATCACTGAATGTATTAACTACAATATGTTTTTGCAAGAACTGTCCTTTAAAGAACTCCGGGGAAAGGAAATCCTAACCCTTATAGTGGGGCTACCCTCGCACTGCAGGGGTAAGTGCTCATTGTTGTCTAGGTATTTTCGAACCTAGACAAAAATGAGCACTTACCCCTGCAGTGAGAGGGTAGCCCCACTGCAAGGGTTAGGGATTTTTCTCCCTGGAGTTCTGCTTTAAACACAAAGTTGAAACTCATATACAGGAAAAGATTTATAAAGTAATGTAGATACTCATGTGACCTACGCTAGATATACTGCACAGCCAAAAGACATTGGGGGGAATTGATCAAAACTGGAGCAGACAAAATCTGGAGCAGTTTCCCATGGCGACCAATCAGCTTCTTTGTTCAGTTTGTTCAGTTAAGATCTGAAAATGAAAGAGAGAAGCTGATTGGTTGTCCAGCTTCTCCAGATTTTGTCTGCTCCAGTTTTGGTAAATTCCCCTCATTGTCAACTGTTCTTAGTACACTTCTCCAAGCCCCGTGTGACTGTCCCATCTCCCGCCTGCTGTTTGGATACCTCCAGTCTATCTGTTTACAGTACAAACCTTTCCTCTGAATGGCTACTTTTACATTTACAATGAGGGCATGTGTTACAATATTCTTCTCCTTCTATTTTGGTGTATAAAATGTTTATTGTGTCCCGTTTCCATACTGGATGCTGAAGTTTTATATGTAGAAGGGTAGTTAGATCATCTGCAAAGTTATTTTGTGCTTGTTAAAGTGTATGTAAACCCTAACAATGAACTTCTTTTTGCTCCCTTTTGGTCTGTTAAATATACAGTTGAAATTGTTCTGTTACAATTTACTGTTTCTGTTTCGATAGGTGCAAATATATATAAAAAAATAATGATGATCCTGCCATAAATACAGTGAGCTCATAACTTCCTGTGCACTCTACATCTGCTGCACTGTTATCAGTGTTCCCAGCTTTCTGTAGAGTACAAAACTCCTTTCCTCTATATTATGGAGAAGAAGCGACGAGGAGGAGTTCTGTTGTCCTAATACATTACTTGTCCTGGGGTAACAACACTGCTTTTCAATAGGGTACAGTGAGTGAGTGTTGGCTGGCTGGCTCTCCTCTCTCTCCTGGTTGTCTCTCCTCTCCCTCTCTCTTCTGGCTGTCTCTCTCCCTTTCTTTTCTGGCGGTCTCTCTCCCTTTCTCTTCTGGCGGTCTCTCCTCTCCCTCTCTCCCCTGGCTATCTCTCCTCACTCTCTCTCTCCTGTCTCTCTCTCCTCACTCTCCTTCCTGTCTCTCTCTCCTCGTTCTCTCCCCTGGCTGTATCAACTCACTCTCTCCTGGCTGTCTCTCCTCGCTCTCTCCCCCGGCTGTATCACCTCACTCTCTCCTGGCTGTCTCTCCTCGTTCTCTCCCCCGGCTGTATCACCTCACTCTCCCCTGGCTGTCTCTCCTCGCTCTCTCCCCTGGCTGTATCACCTCACTCTCTCCTGGCTGTCTCTCCTCACTCTCTCCCCTGGCTGTCTCTCCTCGCCCTCTCCACTCCACTGCCTCTTCTCACTCTCTCTCTCTCTATATATATATATATATACACCCCTACACTATATACCCCTAAGAAAAATAGATGTGCGGTGATAGAGTGTTTGGGTTTTCCTTGAAAAAGAAACATCTGTGCACAACATTTACTTGGATCCTTTCCACCAATACCCACACACACCAACTTTCTGATATAGGAAAGATGGACATATTGCAGCAAGAAGTATGTAGGTAAAGGACAATCACCACTACACCTCCAGTAACGTGGACCATGAGGATTAACGCACAAAAAATGATTGGTTTAACCCAAAAAAGCTTTTTCCATGACTACTTTTCCTGTATTTTATTTTCTAAATCCCAAATTGAATAATTTAAAGGTTAAAAAAGGTTTTAGAAATAATAATTAATAATGTATTTTTTTTTAATAGACTTCTATACATAAGACCGAAAAGTGAGACAACTGAGGAAGAAAGAGGGACAGAGGAATTTGGTTCCAAAAGAGGGACAGTCCTTGTAAATGAGGGACAGTTGCGAGCGATGAATATCTGTGTTGCAAACATATCTTTAAAAAATGACATTGCTCTTTTACTATATTACATAGATTTTTATTGTTTGCTGTCTGTGTACCATTGAGGAAAATATCTCTTCACTTCCTGTCCCTGAGATGCAACATGAATTTAGAGGAAGTCTCCCAAAATGGAAGGAATTCCCTACTTAGTCAGCTATACCAAGAACAGGTGTGCCTATTGGAGGATCTCCCCCTCACCTCTTGTTCTGGGGACAATTCTAAAACTTTGGTTTTTCCCTCAGGTTCTCTCTCATCAGGACAAACTGAATGGTGAATCTCCCAAATGGGGTAATAGACATTAAAGCCCTGTAAACCTTGGCATACCAGGAACGTACATACTTCTGTTATTTGGTCCCTTTTGGTCACATATAAGGCAACCTATTCACTTCATTGGGATGCCCTACGCACAACAATTGCACCAAAGAAGTCCCTGCACCATTTTTCAAGATGTACCACACCTAGATGCATTGTACTTTGATACCATACCTTGTGGTGTGACCAGAGGCGTATTTACTATACTATGTGCCTATACAATCCCGCCCAGCTCCTGGCAACCAGTGACGTTAGTGGTTGCCAGGAGCTTGGCAGGAT